CGAGACTTTCCAAAGTGAAAACACTCCAGAGGACAGATGGATATTGAGCCAAGACATTGGAGATTGGAGCAAGGACGTATTCTTAATTCAAGGGCCGCAATTGTGGGGTTTCTTCCTGGCTCATTAAGGCTGGTACCAGACCTTTAAAGCTTCCACCACCACCAGCTGTCTGCCCAGGATTTTAATTCAGGTGGCACTCCTGTGCCAGCGTGGTCCGGTTTTCAAGCAGGAGAGCAGTGTTAGTCTGTAGGAGCAAAACATCAAAAGGAATCTGATAACATCTTTTCCAACGAACACTTTTTATTAAAAGGCAGAATCTTGGGAGCAGCAGCTGAACAGAGTGGCTAAACCGATGGAGGATTTACATACATTTCTCTAGCCACTCTGATGAAGTAAGCTGTAGCTCTCAAAAGTTGACGTCGTGAAATCAAATTTGTTAGCTGGAAAAGCTGCCTCTGGACTCCTCCTGGCTTTGTGGTCTGACTTGGCGACCTTGTCCCGTGTTTTAGAGTCTTTAAAGCGGATTCAGTTGTTTAAAATTTTCGTTTTGGAAGTTTTTTCCTGGTGTATTAAAAAAAAGGGGGGGGGGAGTTTTAAAATCCAGTTTTTTAAAGTTGATTCCAAATCTGAAACAGCAATTTCCTTTCCTGATGTGATGGTCTTGCTCCTCCTGAAGAAGTCGGGGCCTTCCCCTTTCTCTGCTTTCCAGACAGCCCGGTGCGGTCTTCCTTGGCTCCATTAGCTAGTTTAAAGACTGAAGTGGAGAGTCATTAAATGGCAGGGCCAGATTGTCGTTTGCTGCCCCTCTGAGTTTATGCCTTTTCAAGAAGAGATGCAAACATTAAAGAGGAGCCAGGGAGCTCCAAAACACAATTGGCATCAGATGTCAGGTCTAAAGCAGGGCCCAGAAAATACCCCTCTTGCCTTGCCAACTGATCCCCAATACTTCCAAGGGTGCTGGAACATCCTGAGATTGGGTAACGTGTCAAATGCAGTTTACTGATTTAATTTATCTTCCTGCGTGCTCTTTTGTTAAATATTTTAGTGCATCCGGCTAGTCATAGATCTATTCCTGCTTCTTGCTCCTTGAAAATGCACTTAAGAGAGCTTCTTGTGCAGAATATGTACATGCCATCAGCGATATTCCCTTCCCCATGGTTTCCAAAATGTGTTTGTCTAGAGGCACTCTTCAGCCAAAATGATGTTTGTCAAAAGCAAACTCTTTCTTCAACTACTTTATGCTCATTGATTACTGTCTCTAGCCAAAGCTACGTGGAGGTGGGATTTGTTATTACCAGCATTTACATACTGCCTTATAACACAGCTTTTGGCGTCGGGGCAGTTACAGTAAATCCAGTAAAAAAAAAAAAAGGCGGCGCGTTAAAGCCTGAGAGAACAACCCACCCGTAAACTGGTGGCAAGCCATGTTTAGGGTTAACACAGCTAAAAAGCTGGTTTAAAAAGAAATTCCCATTGCACCACCATGCCCAAAGCTTCTGCCCCTTCTTATCTGTGTAAAAGAAGATGCTTCTCCGAGCATTTGCTTAAAAATTTGGAGAGGTATTGTCAAATTGGCTGCGGGGCCCGTTCATCTGACCCAGGAATAAGGCCCCTTTGCTATGGACCAGCTGAACTGTATTCTGTGGCTAGTTTGGGGATTAGATGTGGAGGTAGTTTGTTCTTTTTACTCCTCATATTTTGTATGCGCCCTTTGTTCAGTTCCCCCGGATTTGTTCAGCCCTTGTCCAAGAGCACCCAAAGAAAATACAGGATTTTATTGTCAGCGTTGAGTGCCAAGATGCCCATCGGAGTGACTGTGACCCAGATTCAGTTTCCCCACTGTGACGGATGCTGCTGGAGAGAACTTTGAACAGAGGCCAGAAATTAAAATTACGGTGCGGTAGGAACATGGGGTGCTTCATCATTTTTCATTGGTGCGCATGTACCGTAGGAAAAGCTCCCTGCAAAACGAAGAAAGAAAACATCTGTTTGGCGAGGCGTGGATGAAAAGCAGCATCTTGCTTTTAGCGTTCTCTTTTCTAAACATCTGTGGGGGAAAGGTGGTGGCCCTCTTTTTTCCAAAATGGAGAGGGACCTTCCCCATCACGTCTTGGACCCAGCAGATTCTGAGGGTTGCGGTAGAAAGCCATCTGTCCAGGCAGCCCAAACCTGCTGGGAATGTCTGGCAGAGGACCAGGTCCCTCTCAGTTGCTTCTGTGCTCCATTGTGACACTTCCTGGGATCCAACTCCTGCATGGAAAGAGCGGTCGGTTTGCTTCTGAAGTCTTCCCACTGGGACGTTGAGGTTGCCTGAAACAAGCTGTCTTGATTCTGTTGTGCCACAACAACGTGGAACCTGCATTCCCTCCAAAGGAGATGTTTTCCCTCTTTCTGCTTCGGTTGGCTTCCTCTGTGATCAGGGTCTCAACTTTGGGGAGCTGGTGGACATGTTTGGAAAGCTCCAAACGTTTTGTGGACGTTCCTGCAAAAAGGCAGGCGTGGTCATTCCCAAAACACCAAAGTGCCAGGGGGTCAACTGGGGTGTATATGCTTTGTTATCTCTTGTCATCTCATATTTTATCTTGGGGTGGGTTTTTTTTCTCAGCAGACAGGATAGATGCTTCCAATCACCCATCATTTTTTGTTGTTTTCTGAGGAAACACATAACAGATGCACATTTGGTCACAACAGTGAGGTTGGACCTGGTACCTTGCAGTATTCCAGCTTCCTATTTATTTATTTTTAGTTAAGAAACCCTTAAGAAATTAAAGTTAAGGGGTCAGGAAGTTGACCAGATGCTAAAAGAAGTATCTGTGGGCTCCATCTTGGACCTCAAGACTGCCATGTTGGAAACCCCTTTGGACAGAGGAATGACTCAGAAGCCCAAGTTGAGCACACCTCAAGCCCAAAGGTGTAGTCTGGGGATCCAAAACTGCTGAAGCAGAAACTGCTTCCCCAGAGTTTCTAAAGTGTCAGCTACACCCAACCATGGTTTTCCAACTGCTTGTGTTTTATTGAGCTGTATTACAGCACTGTTAATTGGTTGGCCAAGTTAGTTGATGTGTCACTTGCGAAGGGGTGGATTGAATGATGCAAGGATGAGGAACACAGCTATTATGAAGTGAGGTCACTGGAAATAAGGAGTTGACCAAGGCTGTCTCAGTATGCCCTTCAATTGCTACGGGAGACGGTGATGGCCTGGAATGCTTCTCTTATTCCATGGATATATTTAGCCCAGGAATGTCAGACTCAAGCTGAGCTTTCCCGGGTCCGCTGCTATCCAACCTCGTCCTGTGGGAGCAGGCTTTGGACCAGCCACTAAGAGCGCCGATCCACAGGTATTGCAGCCATTTAAGATAGCCAGCGACCATGAGTAGGAATTGTACACTGAGTCGCAAGTTGTGCAACGAGCAGAGGCAGAACCACGAGACGGTCCAAAGTTCAGCTAGAGAAACAGGAGAGAAGCAAAACAGCCATGCTAGGCTGGGAGGGAGACGCATAGTCCGAGGCCGGTCCTGGGCTGCCCTGATGTGGCGAAACCGTTGCGGCCCAGTTTTGATACCACTGCCTCTGGAGCATCCCCTTGGCTGGAAGGCGACTCCAGATGGCCTGATTTGGGTCCCGTCTTTCCACTGTGGACTCGAAGAAGAGTTTGTTGTGAAGTGGAAAAAGCTTTCTTCAGGCGCCTCTGATTCAAAAACGTTTGCTCAAACAGGTTCAAAAGCAGATTTCTAAGTGCCTTTTTCATTTGTCTTCCTTTCTGTTGGGAAGAAAGGCCGGTTGAGCAGGCTTGGAACAGCAGTTCTCGTCAGACAGGTCCACCTTGCTGCTTAAAAGCTTTTCATCTCTGAAATTAATTGGAAGGCATTCCTGTGATTAGATAGAGGTTGTTCTGGGTTTTTAGAAGAGGCCTCTTAGTGCCTGCAGCATTCAGAACCTTCAGCAGAGGTATGTTTGAACTTGAGAAGGCCAACGGGTGGGTCTGTCCTCCTGTGAAATTGGGTAAGGCACCTGAAAGTCCACCATGTGTGGTCCTCTGGCAGGAAGCTTCCAAGGCTGCTTTTTGTATGTTTGCTTATTCATTTAATTTGTCAAATGGTTGGTAGGTAGGTAGGTAGGTAGGTAGACAGACAGACAGACAGACAGACAGACAGACAGACAATCTCCCCCACTTTTCCTCTAGGACTCAAGGTGGCAGATAAAATCTTGTTTTCCCCCTGTGAGGTACAATGGGCTTGAGGAGACTGACCAGTCTCAGTGAGCTTCCACATCTGAAGACAGATTTGAACGCGGGTTCTTCTCATTCCTAGTCCAATACCTTGACCGCTGATTTGAAAATCCAGGAAAACAATTAACATGAACTTTTTCCATTTCATTGACTTTTCTGGAGGCATTTCTGAGTAAGAGCAGGATAAACAGGAAGATTTGAGAGTTGACATTGCCATTGCTGAGGTGAAGAAGGGAATGTAACTGAAAATAATTGTTCGGTCCAGTCATTTTGTGGATAGAAAAGTTCTTGGTGGCTCCCTTGTTACAAGGAGTGCTTCAGCCTAACTAGAACTGAATCTGGTCTGAACTTAAATGGAAACTTTCCCAACATATCCCTCAAATAACTTTATTCCTCTAAAACATAAACACTTGAGTGTTGTATTACCAATCAACCCTTTAGTCAAATATTTCCCAATGTAATGTTTGCATTTCGGAATTTTGTGTTGGAAAATGTGTCTATCTCCAAATAGAGTATGATCTAATTGAACAAGCTTATTTAATTTTTCTAGATAGTACACAAAGCAAAGGGGAAAAAAATGTAATCCATGCCAGTTTAATGTTAGCAGATCATTTTAAAAAGCGATTCAACCTATTTCATCTGCATGGAAATCATGTAATGTATCTGCCTCTCCATTTCAACAGATTTTAACTGTCTTACTGAAGTGATTGTGGTGTTTCTGGTTTCCCCCCGGTCACTCATCATTACCGCAAAGCAGGTAATGATTTTGACTGTAAGAAAGTCTAGTATTTTTTATTAAATACCTAAAGCAGAGTTTATCAGGCTAGATGGTGAGCAGAAGTCCTCAGTTGGGTCATTATATCTCAGTGCAAGATTAGTTTGCCCTTAAGTCCCTGGTCAAGAAAACCTGTCCTAGTTGAGCCCACCCATCAATCTAAGCTTTTGAATGCCTGCTTTGGACTTGGCTTCAGGTTGTCTGTGAAGCCAGCTCCTATGGTGGGTATACTATGGTACATGGCTCTGTGTGTTGGATGCGCCTGGCCAATGATGGGTCATTCAGCAAATTGTGGTTAAACTCACGCTGGTTTAGTGCAAATCTGTACTCAGCTGTTGTTCTGTGGCTGGTTCTTCAGACCCAGGAGATCCCAGGAGAATTTCCCCCCAAGTTGCTGCTTGTCATTTCCTGTCGTGTCTATCTTGGCCAGGTTGTGATGTTGGCAGCTCTTGGTCAGTGAGAGCCTTTGCGCTGCGAAGGAATCTATGCCTTTCTCCATCTTTTTAATTTTAATTTAATCTATTTAATGCAAGTCCATGTATGAGATGCCATACGCTAAATGAAATAAATCCGTCTCTGAAGTCCAAGGTGTTTCTCTGGAGGCAATGTTTCTGACCATCCCAAAGCTTCTTTTCATATCATTTTAGTATACGTGCCCAGAAAAGTGTATTGGGTTCAAGCCCTTGCCTGCCAAATGCATTGTGCTTGGTACCTCTGGGTTTTCCTTCTTAATTGGAGTACAAGCTTGGTGGGATGTGTCCTTAGCTTGTGGGTCTGTCTGTCTCTTTCCATGGAGCACGAGGGCGTAATTATTCTCCATTGCATCTGGCCAGCATTTGCCTCCCTCTTCCTGACCTGCATTTTTGGCCAAACCAAAGTTTAACCTCTCAACAAAAGAAGGGGCAGTTTGACAGACGGGGTATAGACACGTTAGGGTTTTGTACTAGGGCTGCCTAGCCAAAAAGTGAGATGGTGGTAGGCAATTTTCTGGGACTCTCCCCCTAATCTTCAACAGCTTTCTCCTAAAAAATCATGGATTGCCAACTGGTAGGGAATTCCACAGTTGGGATGGGTTTACAGAGGTGTGATGACGTGGTTGTCAAGAGAGCAGCTCCATGCATGCGAGTTTTCCATAAACACTGGAGAAATGTTTCCTGCATTGAATAAAAGGCCTTACATCTCCCGCCCTTCCATGTGAATGCACGGGAGATGAAGAATATGATTAATAAATGACATAAAGTATTACCACGCGTGTCAAAGCGGGAGGCTGTGTTGGCTGCAATAACACAACTCCAAAATCAGCGTCATCATTACGTTCTCCCCAGGTAATTTCTTAGGAAGAACATAATTTTTCTTACTTTTATTTTATTGCTCTGCTCTTTTTACGGCATGCTTTTTTTCTGTGAACCAGCCTGAGTCTTTACGGCTGGCGGAAATCAAAGTTATGCCGGCAGTACTTCAGGCAAGCCAAAATCAGGAGAGGAGTGGATGTTCCCCCCTTTCTGAAAACTCTAAGTAATGCAACAGGAGCTTGGTTATCCAACTATATATCTGCAACTTTTAATTTAATAATAATAATGTATTAAATTATTTCCGAGTACACCCATATTTGGGGCTCGTTTTCTGCCAATTTTAGGGTTGCTCCTAACTATCCGTGGAAGTGTTGAAAAGTGAGGAGGCTGAGATCATTTTGGAGGGCCGTTCCGGATGTTTAAGGAATTTAAGGGGTGCCTTGGGGACCTGCAAAGCTTTGGGTTCCCATCTGGGCCTTTAACCCTCCCCGCCACCCCCAAATGCTGGTGGGTCCCTGTGGCCCTTGAAAGCACCACCTTCACCTTGGAAACCCAATCCTGAACTAGGTTGCACGTAAGAGTTAAACCTTGCTGCGATTATTTTGTGGATTTCCTCTTTGAAAATTAATGTGTTACTGATTGTTGACACAAAAATTGGTCAGGTATTTAAGAATGGCATGAACGATTCCTTCTTTCCTCAGTGCTGGGTCCGTTGATTTTAGGCAGCAGGTGGTGGGGGAGAAGAGGAATCTGGTGAAAAATGCACGGTAGCAGGAGAGAAGGCAGTCTTGGGCAGTTTGAGCTAAGAAGCGGCCAGTTGCCGACCCCTTCGGAGACGTTTCTGCCTTCGACAGGAAATATGCAGCCTCCCTCTCCTGCCAGAGCTGCAGCCCTCTCCCCTGGAAACGCCACTGTCCAGATGGCTTCTCGCCGCTTCCACCTGTTCCGTTGCTGAATGTCTCCCCTGTTCTCTCTGTGCTTCGCAGGTGCGTGGTGGAATCTGACTCCAGGAGCGACACACCTGGGTGACCCTCTGAGCCGTGACAAGACTGAGAGGCTTATGTGGAGTTGCTGGTTGAAGTATCAGTGCCTAGCCAAGATACCCAGGAGGAGGGAAAAGGAGAAAAGGGAAGAGCAGCAGAGGTGAAATCTACTGTCGCCATGGTATGTCCTGGGGGTTGGCGGGGGCAGGAGGCCGTCGCTTGAAACCAGGGTGGAGCGTGCTGGATTCTCTCCTAGCCCAGTAACCAGCTCGCTAAAACAGCTAGCCCAGAGCTTGCAGAACGGTGCTGCGTTAAAGACTGGCACCGCTCTTAAGCTGTGAAAAACAGACCTTGATTTATAGCCGGGACATTGTAGAAACCCCAGTGTGGAGGCTGCATCGCATGAATTATTAAGTGCAGATGCGGAGGATGTGCATAAATAACCTTTTCTAATAAAAGTGACATTTGAGAGCTGTAACTCTGAACTGATGGGGTCCGCCCGGGTGCCTGCCCTCTTCCCCGAGGTTCTCCGAGAGGAGGTCATGGCTGTGATTTGGAGGGGATTTCTTTCTCTCCCTTGTTGTATGTATCCGTCCAGCCACCCTGGGCACGATGCTTACTCCTTCTGTAGTCTTCTTTGATGGTAGAGGGCACAGAAGGGGCTCTGCAGTTTCTTCCCAAAGCGGCTGAAGAGATGGGCGGCTTTGGGCACACCATTGATTCAGTCCTGCCAGCCAAGAAAATCAAACTCTGGGTCTTCCAGATGTTATCGTTCAGAGGAGTTGGGGCAGGAGGCACGAGTGTTTCCTCCCAGTTCTAGTGAACTGAGCCCCAAACAGTTTGGGGTACATCAGGGTAGCATTTCTCATCCCTCTGGGTTCCTCTTCCTCTGGAGGGGGGAGAGGTGGTGAGTAACTTAGCCCTCCTTCTCCTGAGGACCAGTCAAAGTGAAGCACTTCCTTATTTCTTTCTGCTGGGAGGAAATTCGATGAAAACCAAGTGGTTTTGTATCCTGCTCACCTGAAGGACTCTTCTGGACCAACCATGGTTAGCCAAATGCCCATCAGCAGCTCTTTGCTGCTTCCAGCCTTGTTTATGCTGGGATAAGCTGGCTCTGAACATGAGGGTTCTGTGGAGTTATCATGACTGTGTCATGATAGATCCTGCCATCTGTCCTAATTAGTTTCTCTATAATCTCTGGGAAGCCCGCCTTGACCCTGGTTCCTTCTGCCCCTCTCTACAGAGATCAATCCGATCGTTTGCTAACGATGACCGGCACGTGATGATGAAACATTCAACTATTTATCCGTCTCCAGAGGAACTTGAAGCTGTCCAGAACATGGTTTCCACGGTCGAGTGTGCTCTTAAGCAGGTCTCCGATTGGATGGACGAGACAAGCAAGTCCACTCGGGTGGAGAGCAGCTCGGAGGACAAAGAGGAACTGGCAGACGCCCGGAGCAGCAAGTGAGTGGCTGAAACTTGGGGTGCACGGAATCCCCCAAAGCCGGCCTCTTCTCCTTTTCTGGGAGAGTGTCAGCCTTTATATTGGCAGTTGGCAGGCTTCAGTGCCATCGGACCCACTTTATATTTTTGCTACCATCTAGTGCTGGGGGAAAAATTTACTCCATGCCCACCTCAGTAGGTGATCTGCTTGGACTTGAAGGGAAGTTGGTATGGGAACTCCCCTGGGGATCTAGGCAATCAAACTTCATTGCAGTCGTCAACCAGCAAGGACTGGGAAGTCCTTTTCCTGGCAGAAGACAGGGCCTCACCACTTCTCCCCGGTGGCCAGGAAAGCAACGGGTTGGGTTTGAGTAATCAGCAAGGAAGTTTCTCCTTGTAGTCCCTTCTGCAGTCTTGAGATCTTCCCAGCCTGAATTTGTGGAGGGAGAGGAGCCGAGCCACCCCATCTCCCAGGATTGGGGAAAGAAGAGGGTTGGCAGGGCAGGGCTTTCAGAGAGGGGCATTGCCCCATGCATTCTGAGGATGCGGAGCATCTGTCAAGAGGGCCTTGTGCAGCTGTCAGCCGAGGAGTCGCCGGGGTTAAATAAGGCGAGAGACACAGGCCGAGAGGGAGCCGGGTGAGGGAGGGCCACGGAGTAGCATTTGTTGCTCAGCTCCAAGCGAGTGCAGCTCAACGCTATAATTCAACGTGGCTCTGGGGGCCTCCGCTAGGGTAGTGGTGGCCGAGGGGCTGAACATCTCTGCCTGGTTCAGCTAGGACAAGTAGCCCTACCAGGGAGGAAGCCACACGTGGACCTCTTTGGGGTCTGCATCTGCTCTCTGTGAGCGGACAGGCGGCCGCCTTTGCGTTCTCACCCTGGTCAGTTGGAAACCGCTGGAGCAGGTGCCCCACTCTTTTTTTCCTGGCTTCCGTTGTTTGAGAAGCCCATAGATGGGGAAGGAGGCTGGACGGAACTCCGGTGTAAAGCCATTGATGCGTGCCTAAACAAATAGTAGAGAGAGAGAAGGTCAGTTGGGCAAAACAAATAATCTATGCTTAAGATTGATTTGCTAATGGCTGTCCGAGGGGTCTCAGAGCACCGATTTGCTGCCTCTCCCCCCCGCCCCCCCTTCTGTTTGACTTGTAATTAATGGTGCTGATGTAACATCGTCAAAACGAGGCTGGGCATCAGGGCTGGAAAACGCGTTTCCCCCCTTGCTGGTCTGAAGCGTTTGCCTGGCGTTTGTCCAGGGAAACCCTGCAGGATCTGCAGTCGTATCAATAACTGCGGTTGCAGCGATGCAAGGCTGGGTCTCTCTCTGCGCATTAGCAGCATTGCAGCCCGGGAACAACATCCTCTTATGTTCCTTGGGAAACTCCTCTGAAAGTTGTGCAGTTGGAGGGGAAAAAAGAGAGAGAGCAGTAATGCTTTCAAATCACTTTCAGAAGTACCACAAGAGTGAAGGAACTTGTAGAATTTCCTTGCACTCTAGTGTGTATTTAATTATTAAAATGCCATCCGATCCAGAGATTCCTCTTTGCCCAGGCTGTCTGAGCAAAGGAGTGGGGACAGATTTTTTAGGTTGATGTGGATCGATCTCCTCTCTCTCTCTCTCTCTCTCCCCACACGCCCCCATGGGTTTGGTCTCTTGGGAATCCTGATTCCTTGCCTTTGGGGGAGGAAATCTCTCTCAGAGATGCCCAACACTCTTAATCTAGCTATTGAATTAGCCCCTCTTGTGACTTCAGGCAGTACAGTGAATCAGAAGCTAAGCAAACAGGGTGAGCTTGCAACTGCACGGTAAGGTTACGGAGACAGACACCCCCCCAAAGGATCGTATTAATCGAGTTTCCTGCATTCTGCAATGTGTCTGCTACGTCTCTGTGCTGTGTATGGAGCACTATTTCATGTTGGACAGGTTTGATTGATTGGTTACGTGCCTTCAAGTCATTGTCAACTCTTAGCGACCACATAGATAGATTTTCTCCATGACTATGTGGTCCTTCAGGTCTTCCAACGGTGCCCCCATCGCCACCATAACTGGGTCCATCCACCTTGCTGCTGGTCATCCTCTTCTTCTCTTTCCTTCCACCTTTCCCAGCACTGGAACCCTCTCCAGAGAGTTTGGTCTTCCGGTAGAAGGGAATTCATTTTCTCTTAGAATTCATAGAGTTCTCATAGGATTCAAGCAAATTCATGTTCTCTTGAAAGCTCATAGAAGAGAATTCAAGAGAATTCAGTTCCAGTGGAAGAGAATATTCTATCAACCCCCCACTACAGTGCCTCCAGAAAACCAAAGACCTAAAAATAGAAGAAGATGAAATTATGGTTTCATTCGATGTCGCAGCACTCTTTACGTCCATAGATCCAGAACTAGTGAAAAACCCATGGCGGCTGTACTCCGCAACTCACCCAGCCTAGCCAAATACACTAAGATTGAAACACCCAGAATCACGGATCTCGTCAATCTCTGCCTGACTTTCAGTTTGAGGGACAAATATACCAACAAATCAGAGGAACACCCATGGGATCACCACTCTTAGGACTCATAGCGGAGAGATGTATGAGATCAGGGGCTAATGAGGAGATCTCTCTGGTGTTTGGGGAGGGTTGAAGCGGCACAAGTAATGTAAATCCATGCGTATTTTAGCACAACATTTAATAGATGTTAACAGGAGGTTGGGAAGGAAGAGCAAAAATGAACGTGGGGGCAAAAGTTGAGCTGGTTGGTTGTTGATTGAACTTGCAGTCTCTCTCCTGAGTTGCACCAAGGTTGGGTTTTTTTACCTCCTCCTCTTGTCAGGGAATGAGTGAAGTCGTGATTACATTTTTAACAGCTGCCTGCTGGTGCAAACTCCAGGAGCCTGTTTTTTCCTGGTTCCCTATGCTGGAATTTTTCACAGGAGCTCGTGCTAAATTTAGGGTGCTGTTTTCTCTGGTGTCTGCATCGATGGGTGGGTAAACGCCTTTGTCCAGATGTTCCCCAAAGGGAGCAGGTTGGCTGTAGGAAAGCTTGCGTGGAAACCTGGTGGTGGTGATGCTGCTCTGCCTCTTGGGCTCTAACATTTTTTTTCTTCCCCGTGCTGCCAGCCGTGCCACAGCTCTCCCTGTCTACTCCCCACATTTAAAAAAAGAGAGAGCGAACACGTTATGCATTAAGCTCCTGCAGTGAGTAGAGGTCTGTTCCCCCCTACCCTCCTTGCAAGCTTCTCTTGCCCCAAGGAGCACAAGAAAAATACATATCCCAGATTCTCTGGAGCAGAAAATGTACGGTGATTAGAAGAAGGATGGCTCTGGGCCTTAAAAGCAAAATATATGGGTGGTAAAGCCCCATGACACGGCCGATTATGTTTGCCAGCTGTGCAGCGTCTCTACACAAACGTGCGGGTTTTCGGAGGCAGCAGCTGTTTAGCTGGAGAGGCTACTCCGCGTAAGGCCTTCTGTCGTCTTCTGCTTGCCCTTCGGCTGTGCGAGGGCGAGCCCAACCGTCTGCCCAGCGTTGTCCAAAATCTGAGCCAACCGTCGCTGAAACCGTTGACACAAGTCTTGGTGTGAGTTGTGTTAAACTCTGGAAGCGAGCGCAGCTGTTCTAATGAGTTAACAGCCTGGCCTTCGCATTCCTGCATGCTGGAAAGCATCTTTTTGGAATGGAATCCGAGGCACTGCACATCCCTTGTAACATGTTCTTCATGTAGGAGAGTAAAGCAGAGGCGTGCATGTACAAACTGCTAATAATAATAATAATCAAATTTTTCTCCCCCCCCAGGGACCAAGGTGGCCGGATCTTGTGTGGAGTAATGAGGATTGGTTTGGTGGCCAAAGGCTTGTTGATAAAAGACGATATGGACTTGGAACTGGTCCTCATGTGCAAAGAAAAGCCCACAGAGACGCTGTTATCCCTCGTCAAAGACAATCTTCCTGTCCAAATCCAGGTCAGCAAAACTGAGAAAGCCCATGTTTGTAATTAATATCTGGGTCCTGCTGCTCCCTGCTTTGTTATTGGTGTCATCCTGGGCAGAGAAGAAAATATTTCCCAGTATTTTTTTTTCTTTCCCAAGGAAAAATGGGAACAGTTTAAAAATGCATCATTTGTTCTCGGTAATGCAGGTTACTCTCCAGAGAAGGTGAGAGGGAACGGTGCAAATCCCTTGCTTCTATCCGCTTTTTTTCTTCTGCCAGTTGTTTTGAAGCATATTTTTCTTGGCAAGATGCCCTTTCTGAGCCAAGCAAGGGAGGGGGGTGCCCACTAACTCAAAAATGCCCTCCAAAAAGCCTGGGCCAGCCAGGAAATACTTTAATGGTGCTCCTTCCAGCTCAAATGCAGAGAGCGTCTCCCAACACTGTGCCCGTAGACGAAATCTACTTGGTGGTGTCCGGTATCCCCTAAGCTGGTAGCTAAACCTCAGAATGTGATTCTCTCGTATACATTTTCAGAATTCTAAATCCTAATGATTATTACTGTCTGCTCACTTTAGGGCAGCTTATAAAATAAAATAAATAAGCCGCTGTAGAAATAATTAGGAGAGACACTTCGTTTGGAATAAATACTAATAAAATTGGTTAGCACTAGTAAGCATAACTGAGAGAGAAGCTTTATTTTTATTGGAAGAGCCACTGGAATTGCACTGCAGAAGACTGGAAATGATCTTTCCTGCAGTAGTGTTAGTTCAATATAGCAATAGTCTAAAAAAAATATGACATTTGTTTGCAATGAAATTGTTTAATTCAGTGAAAACAAACCCTTCCCAGTTGGACGATTGTATGAATCGGGAAAAGCCGGCGTGAGTATAAAATGGGATGCTTTGGTTATGATGTTTGGGGAGGGCTCATAGCGTAGAGATTTTGAGAATTCCCCCCCTTTGTTGTTGTCGTTGAATAATATAAGGAAAGTGAAGTCAGTGGCTGTTTCAGCTCCTCTTTAGCCTCTCAGAGAGCGGGATTTGCTCCAGCAACGTGGAACCCAGTTGCGCTTTTGCCTCCTGCCTTCCAGCTGACCGTGGATCTCGAGGCCGTGGGTCATCTTAGCAGTCTTGATGGGCTGCCTGCAGGCCAGCGATAAAAGCCCTTGCAGGAGGCTATTCGAGCAGTCTCCAGGGAACGGGAATGTACCTGCATTGCAGTCATTCTTAGCTAACTTCTCCTTTTTTCACACAGTTTCCCTGACAATTCTTGGCTGCTCCAGAAACCCTCTGCCAGCGTTTCTAGCAGGGCGTAAACGACAAAAACCACCGTTTGGTCCCCCAGAAGAAGACTCAGAGGATCGCTTTGCCGCCGCTGCGGTTGTTTAAATGTCCCGTTTACCTTCTGCAGTTGCAGTTTCTGCAAAACGATCTGTTAGTTAAGTGCATCCATGCACTTTCCCCGGTCAGCAGAGGCAAGAGCCGTGCTGGGCTCCGGCTTTCCGCCAGTGGCTTGACCGAGCCATTTCTGAACTGTTTCAGAAACTCACAGAAGAGAAGTACCACATAGAACATCATCCCGGGGAAGCTGCCATCGTGATCCGAAGCACGACGGGGCTCCCGCTAACCCTCAAGGTGACCCTAACCTCCCCGCTAATCCGGGATGAAGCCGAGAAGAAGGATGGAGGTAAAGAGAGCAGTTGGAAGAGGGGGCTGGTCTTGGAGGGGACTCACTCGGAGAGGGTGCGCAGCGGCTAGCCTCCCCCGGGTTACCCTACTCAGCGGTAGACCCAGAGCAGAGCCAAGGGGCGGAGAATTCCCTGTTCACCAAAGGGACCACTTAAATCTCTAGAAGTGTAGAAATTTGTAACCGGCTCCCGGGACCCCGACGGATCCCAAAGGGCTTGCAGGATTTGAGCTGGCGCGGATTTGCAGCAAGCATTCCTTGCACGGGCCCAGATCCTTCCCTAGATCAGGAGGACTCTTTCTTCCAGCCTACAAACTATGCGGGATTGTAAGGATTGTTTCCTCATAGCCCCATAGCGGGCTGATAAGCTTTGGGGTGATGCTATGATGGCATTTGCTGAGGGGCGATGGATGCCGGAGTTTCATGGGGATGCTACAGCGGCCTTGGCGTTGGGAAGGGGGTGTGGGTGGCCTGAAAGAAAAAGGAAGCAAGATTTGACCCCGGAGCTTGTAAGATTGTGGCTGGTCATCTAGCAGGGGCTAACAGCAGAGTGGGATGGTGGGAAAAGGCTGACAGGGTGTATAATTCAGCCATTCTTTCTTATATCTGAGTTTCTACAGCAGGGCCCAACGCAAATCCTAAGTGGTTTCGATTTCAAAAGAACTCTTTGAATTCCCCAATTATAAATCAGGCAGAACCAAATGTGCAAAAACCCTCAGAGCCCATAACACCTGTTTTGAATCTGGATTCCCCCCTGAAAGGGAGCTGAAATGAAAAAGGCCTTAGCCATTGAGATCATGGGCAAGAAAGAGCGAGAAAAAGATGCTCAGATTGGCCAAGGCTGGCTCATAACAAGATGAGGATTATTAATTTATCGTGTTGATATCTCCACTTCTCCTCCAAGAACTCAAGGAGGTATAGATGTCGGCCATCACAGGTCATGCTAAGCCAAGCTTTGCTTTATCAATGGTTTATTGAATAAACCATAATGGGCTGAGTTCCTACAACATGCTAAGCCATAAGCCTTGGTCTGCAAGCCATCATGGTGTGACCCAAGCCAGTTTCTGGAGTGTAGAGGTTTTACGTGGGGACTGGCTACCGATAATCTGGTGGTCCAAGGTCAAAGGGGTTGAGGTAGATGAGCTTTGGTGCCCTTCCAGCTCTGAATCAATTCAGATTTTTTTTTAAAAAAGATGGATTTGGGGCTAAGCGCTAGAAGAAAATTTCTAACTCTACAACCTGACCATAGAAGGGGTTGGTCTCTGGAGGCGACAATCAATATCAAGTCAATTTGCTTTAAGTGCTGCCCAGTGATTAACAGGAGGTGGTTATGCTACAAAAAGGCACCCTCCAAACCATTTTGCCACGAAGCAAAACGTGTCTGTCTTTTCCCTGCCTCTCTCCTCCTCCCACAAACGTACTGACCTGTTGGTCTTTAAGGAAAGATGGGTCTAAACAGGGCACTGTTGAAGTTGCACCAGACTCACATGGCCGTACATTATGTTCTCTGCTGTACACGGTCATTTGTGAAATTCTACCTCATCAATTCCTCCCCGTGTCCCTTCTCCTGTTACTCTTTCTGCCTTGGCTGTTGGTCTACGAGAAAAAGTATTGATGGCTGATCTTTCCTCAGCGTTAAGGAGAGAACAGCAGCGAAGCCAAGCATAATTTCACAGTCCCTGTCTTCTCGTGTCCCCCAAAATGGGACTGCGGGACCTTCCTACCTGGAATTAAGCCCAGGCAACTTGGTGGGAAGGTTTATACATCAACAAAAGCAGGATTGCTTTGTTAATCCATGGGTTTCCACCTCCGTTTCCTTCCCTGTCTTCCCTTCCCTGCTCCAGAATGAGCAGGGCCAGACTTGGCCAACTGGCAGCTTCTGTTGTGACGGCTGAGGCTGTCCCCACCCTTCCCCTGTGGTTGAAAAATCCCCACTGCACGCAGTTGCTCTTTCCCCCTTTCTGAGTTTACCCCATAACTGTAAGCTCAGGAGATATTGCCTGTCCTCCACGCAATATCAAGCCAGCATCACTGTAGAAAGGACTGGTCAGGCTTCCTTGATGCTCGGATCTGCTGCTTTCTGGAGCAGACCGGCGAGACCAGCCAGGACTTCCTACAGTTTCGGTTGGTGGGTCAACGAACCCCAAAAGGAGCCAGAGCAGGCTTGAGAGTTGTTCCATGTCCTGGCCATCGACAACATTTTATTTTTGTTGTTGTTGTCATCCTTTAAAAAGGAAACGTTTGACACAAATACAGCCGTCCCGCCAATTCTATCACAAAAGGAACAATCTGATTTTCCTGCCCCAACGCAGCCAACTGAATCAGTTCAGCAGGGCAACTTAAACGCTTGGTCAGTCTGCGCTCTTCTCTTCCAAAAACTGTGAGCACAGAGAACTCAGACAAAGGAAGGATTCAACACGCTCTTTATTGTTTTTTTTTAAACAAAGCATTTTCTATTGTAAGTCCATTTATTAATTTTGTCCATTTGCTGGCAGTTTCTAGATGTAGTAAAATTGGATCTTTATTTATGGTCTGCCATCTGGCTGAATGGCTCCTCTGTTAGTCCATTTTTTTTTCTTCCCTGTCCTTGCGGGGGGAGAATGTGAATCCCCCCTCCCTACCCTGTACCAGCTGCTGGGAGCAATGAGTGACAGCCCCCCAACCCGGGAAACCCCCCATCCCAGTCACTCTGTGACTTCATGAGTTCTCAGCTTGGCCTGATCCAACCTCAAAGCACTTCTTAAATTCCATTTCCAAATAACTGGGGCTGTTTATGATGTAGATTTGCTATGGCCTCCAATTTCTATGCCCTCCGTTACGGGCTATCTTAGATAAAGTGTCTCTTCCCTCCTCACTCTGCCCCCAGTTGTTTAATGGACTCAGCGGGTTGAAGTCAGGAGAAAAAGAGGAGGATTCTTCGGGGGAAGACCCAGGTCTCTGGGTAAAATGAGCTGGTGTAAGTTGCATTTCTAACTGGCCATTAAGTTGGGACTCAGCCCATTGTTGGGCCAAGAATACAAGCAAGAGGACGAGAAGAAGAGGTCAATTACCCTTAGAGGAAAATGCCACGTTGACACAGATTCCACCCTGTATTTGTTTGCAAGGCTAATGCCCCTTCTTTCTTCACCCCTGTCTCCTCTACTGAGTAAATCATGAACTATTGTATCTCCCCTACCTTACTTAGGGACTCCTTACTAACATTTCACCCCCATTGATGGACAGGCATGAACTGATGATAGCTTTCTAGCTATGGTTATCCTCACTCTCTTCCCCCACCCCAGCTCCTCTTTCCATTCTTCTCTCCCCCCCCCCAAGAGTTCCACTCTCACAATTGCCTTCTACAACCAAGAGGCACCACCTTTCGAAAACACCACAGGCATAACTTCTCCCAACCCTTGTTGTTTTCAAAGGTCTTCCCTCACCTTTTCAGCATGGCTCCTTCAGGAAGCATTAACCAGCACTCTGGGGGGAGGGTTATCTTCCTCCGGGTAAACCATTAAGGCAGAAGAAGTCTATTGTGCAGGTATAAAATAGTCTGGTTCACCATGCCTTCAATTTGCATTGTCTTCGCTCTGTGTTAATGGTTACCCAATTGCACGATTAGCTGAGGAAGGTGCTAGGTTCATTTGTGGTTGGTGAGATGGCCTTGGAGACGGTCGATCTGTAGTTGTTTTTTTCCCCTAATGCCTTTAAAACAAAGTCTTTGCTTACTCATGGATTGCTATACAACACATGGACATGAGCAGATCTTTCATTCACCTTCCCTGAAATACAAACACTCCAAAAGCTTTATACGATCCAAAGGGTCCCAGTTACCCATTGAAGGTTGCTCGTGGCGTCCTTCCTCCTAGCAGGACGAACTGTTGCTGATTAAAGCTGGGGAGAGAAAAACAACAACAGCTAACTACCTTTTTTTCTGGGGAAAAAAAAAAAGCTAAACTAGAGTGTGTCCTTGTGCTTGTAAACCACTCGGCGGCTAATCCTGTTGATGACTTTGCAGCTTTTACTGGGCGTGTTACAGACTGATTAGGCCGTAAGCCTCACCAGAAGGGTAATACAAAAAGAAGGCTGCGAAGTTCATAGAGGTTGACGGTCACTGTGTGGGGCTTTGTGATTCCTCAGCGAGGCAAGAACCGCAAACCCAAGACGGCTTTCTGAGGTTTATACTCTTTTTCTGCCTTCCCAGGCCCCCGTGGGACCACGGTTTAGCAAAGCTGTTGCTCAGAATACCGGCTGGGGGGGTCCACTTGAAAGAGAACCTAGCACATTGGGTAAAGCTATAAATACCCCTTCTTTTTTTCCTGTGCAAACAACAGTTTGCACTTCTACCTTGGGGAACAGGCTTTTCCCGGGCAGCAGCCTCCACATGTGTTCAGTCACACCCATAAATTGCACCCTTTGCTCAGCTGGTTGGAGAATTGCTGTCTAACCAAGCTGGAGAGGCACCAACTGTTGTGGGCAACTTTTTCAGGAGAGCCCACACGTGGCCTCCTCCCACCCCACTTCCTTCTGTCTCAAGAGTTGGAGCAAGCTGCCTCCCTTCCATCCTCGGCAACTTTAAAAAAGTGGTAATTCCTATTGCAAGTTCCACATACGACATTGGCTCGCTTTTTTTAAAAAAAGGGCAGTGTGGTTGGTCCCCACCACAGCTCAATCCGTTTTTGTCCTGAAGACGTGAACTGCCTGTGCCCTGAATGAATCTGTGCTGGTTCAGCATGTCTGGTAGGCAAAGTTCCTGAAAAGTTTGGGATGCGAGAGTTTTACCCAGAGAGTCTTCGAAAGGATGCCCAGGGATGAATCCGAGAGTTTGTACACAGATCTCCCAGCCAATAAGTCTACCCCCCCAAATTCCCCCCAAATGAACCAGCCAAGTATTTTGATGTTTGCTGCAGTCATCCCACATTTTAGCTAAAAGGGTAGGGAATGGATTAAATCCACAGGTTGTCCCTACTTAAAACCGTTGTGGGCCATGCCTAAGTAGAAGGCTTCCCGTCACTCTCCTTTCCTTCTGCAAAAAGTCAAGAAAAAGAGTGTAAATTTCAGCGGTCTGTTGCTGGCTTATCCAAATTGTGAAGCCCTCCAGCAGAGAGAACATTTAAAATAACTAAGCTCCCTCTGCAGATTCGTGATTGTCCAGGGCGTCTTGGCCTCGGGGGCGTTTCTGAGCATTGCTAGAAGATCACTTTGTGAAAAAGTAGGGAGCGTGCATAACCGAACGCAAAGCTTTTTTAGGACCCCTTTATGGAAAGCAGCCCTCAGGCCGCTGAACGTCCGAAAGTCTCTCTCTGTCTGTGCTGGTTTTATTTTCCTTTTGACCTGAGATGCAAAGCACCACACTTTGTATGGTCTGCCCCAGGAAGGGCTCTTTTTAACCAATTAATAAGATCCCAGATTGACTGCAAATGTTGAAAAACGGCCTACGTTTTGCCTCTTGTTGTACACACACATATTTGCTACTATTTAAAAAAAAAAAAATCTGGCATGTGTGTTATGTTTAAAAAAAAGAATGGATGGGGGAAAACCACAGGGGGGAAATTAAAGTCAGTGCAATTCTGGGAGTCTTATTAAAACTCTTCTGTCTCGCTGGCATTTGTTCTGTGTTTTGGGCAACAGAATCCGCTTGGTCAAACTCCGCATGTCTCTTTTTGTTTCTCATATTCCCATTTTCCCAGTAGACAGTGCCCCGATGAAAGATCCTTCGGATTTGCTCAACAGGCAAAAATGCCTCGAAGCTTTGGCGTCTCTGCGGCACGCCAAATGGTTCCAGGTTGGGCCTTTTGTTCTTACCTATCGTAGCCTTTCAAAGTTCTTTTTAAAAATATTTCAAATCATAGTGTTTAGGTTGGACGCTCTGCAGACAAGAATGGGACAATTCTGTTTGTTTTAGGCCAGAGCGAATGGGCTAAAATCCTGTGTGATCGTGCTGCGAATTCTGCGAGATTTGTGCAACAGAGTTCCCACCTGGGCGCCCTTGAAAGGTTGGGTGAGTACCGCTTCGTCCGTGTTTGCGTAATTTGCTGGGGAGGCAAAGAGTTAGGAGAATGCAGCTCAAAGTTAATGTTGCCTCTTACAATTTCTCCTTCTCGGGCACTTAACTGACTTTGTGAAGGGCCTGATGAAACTGCCCTCAAAACCAGCCAGTTCCTTTTGTAAAAAAAATCCTTGGTGGTTGTTGACTGCAGATTTTAGTACCTTCTGTGGGACTTGGGTTAGGTTACCTGTTCATGAAACATAATCTTCAGGGCAAGCAAGCTCCCTTAGATGCTGTTGACGACAGCACCCACTTCAGTAACATCTCAAGAGCCATCTGTGTCCATCCAAGGTGTACGTCAAGTCTGTTGAAAACAAAGGCCATCAGTGCGACTCCTGTTCCTTTCGGTGGGCAAGAAGGACCAAGTTTTCACAACTGTGGGGAGAGGACCACATAGTAGTTCCCAAGCTTGTCCTGCAAGGGTCCCTCTGGCCAAAGAAGTGATGAGTCCAGTACAGAAGTCCTAGCTTTTCTCACAAACAGAGTGCCAAAAGAGGAGAGTATCTGTAGCTCAGGGTTGAACTGTGGAGTTCTTGGTGCCCTCCAAGCTTGGTTATTTGCCTGCAGACATTTCATTACCCAACTTGGTAACATCATCAATGCAAGGGGCACTCTTACTGACACCCATCTCTGCTACAGGGCAACTTTCTCCCCACATCCCGGAATATTCCTAGAATTTTTTTTTAACATTTTACATATTCCACATGAGGGTTTTTTCTCCCTGGTCCAAAGTGACGTGCTACTTGTTGGGGTGCCAAGAGGGAGATATACCAACATTTTCTACAAACGTTGTGCTTGTTTATGTTCCAATAGGAAGATTGAATCTATATCACATGTACTGCTACCGTGCTGGTTGTACACTCAGTGGTGAATGGATCTCATAATACCAATTGCCAGGACATTTAATGGTCCTTATGATCATGAAGTTACCGTTCTGCTTTTCAGATACCTCCAAGAAGATTGCAAAATTTCTAACAATAGCTACGGCTGATAGAAATTATTGGGTGCCTTCCTGAAATCATTCTGGGAGTCTGTCTATTGATCTGTCTGTCTGTCTATGGTATTTTTATGCTTGTTAGATAAATAAACTGCTACAGTTACTACTGACACCATCCCGTTGTCTTCCAGCCCCTGGAGCTGTTGTGTGAGAAAGCCATTGGTACCTGCAACAGGCCGTTGGGGGCGGGGGAAGCTCTCCGGCGGGTGATGGAGTGCTTGGCATCGGGCATCCTGTTGCCAGGTAAGATCTGCCAAGCTGCTTCTCGGGTGCTGACCAGTCATGGGTTGGTGCATCGTTCCAGCTTGTCCCATCTCCTTCTGGATGGTGGTCTTCTGGCTTCCTCATCCTGTGAGTTTATAAGTCATCTGTCCGACGTGTTCTCCAAGCAGGAGAAAGAAACGAGTTGTTCTTCCTTCCTGAGAGAGTGCAAAGGTCTTCTTCTAGGAAGGTAGTTAATATGGCTGGTGAGACTAACATAAAATGCAGTGCAGTCTTTAATGGGTTGGTCGATGCTCACCTTTCTAAAAATAAACTCTCATGTTTAGGGTTGGCTCAGGGAACCTTGGCTGGTGCAAGTCAAGGAAGGTTGGAGGACCCGTTTCTTTCATTCCCAGCTGCCTCCATGGCTTTTCCCTTTGGGCCTTCCTTTTTAACCCATATTCAAAACCCATTGGTAAAATTATATAAGAGACACCCACCGCTAGAACCAGCTAAATAACGTGTTCCTCTGCATTCCCCCCCCCCAAATAGTTATTTTTTGTTGTTCTGTGGCTTCATGACCAGTGTTTTCAGAGGACAGTTGGAGAAAGGAGAGGGTTGAGGATTGACTGGCACCTGGCTCCTTTCTTGTGCCTAGGTGGGCCTGGCGTGCACGACCCCTGTGAACGAGAGCCAACGGATGCCTTGTCCAGCCTGACTGTTCAACAAAGGGAAGCCATAACCCATAGTGCCCAGGTAAGATGTGCCAGCCACCTGATTGGCCCTCTTTTCCCCCAGCGATTGGGGACAAGTGCCTTCATGGATTAAAGACATCAAACTCTACATTGCCTGGGGTGGTGGGCTGAAACCCACCCAATCACTGGAGCAGAAAATGGTCTTTGGTATCTGAGCAGTGCTGACTTGCAGAATAATTTGCTCCCTTCCTCAATTTTTCCCCGTTTTGTTTTTTTTCACAGCATGCACTGAGACTGTCGGCTTTTGGCCAAATATACAAGGTGCTGGAAATGGATCCTCTCCCTTCCAATAAGTCGTTCCAGAAATATTCGTGGTCGGGGGCCGACAAAGAAGGTAGTTGTTGTGGGACGAGTTGGGCTGCTGCAAAACTCCGTCTTCTTGACGGTTCTTAATAGGGATTTTTAGTCTGTTGAAGTGATGTCACCGTGCACTCGTTCATTGCAACAAATTCATGATGGACTGGAAAATTATAACCTCTGTGACAGTTATTGGTTCATTTGGATTTTAGTTCTTATTCTTCCTCCTCCTCGTTTTTTTTTTATGACTGTTTATATGTATTTAATAAAAATACCCCCCCAATAATGCCATCGAGTCCTTCCATCCTGTGGCCTAATACTAGTACCTAAGATGCCTTTCCATGATGATGTCATCATGCGTATGATGTCACTAGCCCTCCACCATTACTCCTCCAGCAGACCCTGTTTTTGCAAAAGGAAGGGAGAATTTATCAAGCGGCCTCTTTGCCCTGTAGTCTTCGAAACAGAACTGGAAGTGTGATGGGCTTGAAGCAGGCCAGGTCTTCTTGTTACCTCTCCACTGGGAGAACACGGGTTCGAGTCCTTCCCCAGTCCGGCTCCAAAGCGCGAGGGGCTCCAGGCAGGGCGTTTTCCCCTTGGCCTGTGACATTGCCTCTTTCTGGCGCTGCGGAAGATGGAATGGCTTCTCGAGGCAGCCGTAATGGCAACAGCGCCCCGGCTATTTATTTTTAAATGGAGAAGATCGATCTCTCAGTTGTGGGGAAGTTTGTTTAGTTATTTATTAAATTTGTATGCCGCCCATCTCCCCCAGTGGGTGACTCTGGGCGGCTCGCAATGAAAGTAAAAGCCACAAACAGTTAAAAAATAAGTACCCCCAAATACCTGCATCGCTTGGTGCCCGTGAGACTTCCTGCCCTCCTGCCTATTTTTCCCCCAAATCCCAGAGCCTGTCAATCAAATCCAATTCCATTCTGCTCAGCTCAGCTTCCTCGTGGGTTTTCTTGCCCCGGGATAGGAACGGAGAGCGCCGAGCGAGAATCTGTTGCAGAATAGCTTTTCTTGATGCAGAACTTCCTTTTCAGCGCAGGACGCTCTTTCCGTGGCTCAGTTCTGACGTTACCCATCGACGATGCTCGCACCTTCCCTTCACGCCATAAAGATCATTTTCTCTTTCTAGGTGCAGGTTCCTCTGCCCTAAAGAGGCCTTTTGAAGACGGGTTGGGGGATGAGAAAGACCCCAGTAAGAAAATGAAGCGGAATTTGAGGAAAAGTAAGGATTGTTTCTTCTCCTTAACGTTCATTATTGCCGTCTAAGGTCTTCCTTAACTCTGGCTTACTGTCCTCTGGGCAAACGCATTGCGTTATTTTCATGCCATTAATTTTACCGAATCTAGAAAATGCTACGTTGAGTCAAATGCCATTGCTCTTGACTCAGTGGACGTCTTCATAGAGGGGGTTTGGGGCAATAATATGGAAGCCGTTTGTTTTCTCCTTTTTCTGGGTTGTTTTTTTCCCCAATTTTCCTGACAAATCTTCAGCCCTGATCGTCTCCCCCCTTGCTTAGTTTCTCAGAGGCAAGGGAGAGATCTTCAAGAATCTCAAGTAGTTGGATGAGTGAAGACCAACAGTTCTTTTTCCGTGAAAAGCACGGCCTTGCCGGCCCCGTAGCCATCATGGCTTCTCCCCTTCTCTCTTGGCTTCCTTTGACAGTCCTCGACAGCAAAGCAATAGATCTCATGAATGCCTTGATGCGGCTGAATCAGATACGGCCCGGTTTGCAGTACAAGCTGCTCTCTCAGTCGGGGCCCGTCCACGCCCCGGTCTTCACGATGTCCGTCGACGTGGATGGAACAACTTACGAAGCCTCAGGACCTTCCAAGAAGACCGCCAAGCTTCACGTTGCAGTGAAGGTAAGGCAGCAAGGTCTCTCCCGGATCCTGGAGGTCTGTTGTAAAGGTTGGGGTTGAGATGAGGGGTCGGGGGGCTGAATTTCTAGCCCCTTCCTTTGGAACAGAGTAGCAGGAAGGAAATTTCTACTTCTAGAAATTAGAAGTATCTGCTTCCAGGCATATAAGAGGGAAGTTACTGTGTTATGGCCACAATAGGTAAAAGTCTCTCCTGCAGTCGGATTACGATGCAGCTGTTGTCGCTTTTAAATTATCTGCCTCACGCTGTTGTCTATGTGGATCTGAGATGTTTTTTCTTTGTTTTGCTCCCGTTCAGTGTGGAAGTTCCCAAAGTCTTTTTCCCCCCTTCCTTTCCTTTCTTGCTTCTTTTTTCACTTGGGGACGTGCCCCTTTCTATCCCAAAGTGCTTCTCACTCTCAGAAGTAGATCAATCTTTTGTCTTGCAAAGCCTCAGTTAGAGGGCAGTTGTGTGTGTGTGTGTGTCTCATTTTGCCTGTGGAGTTGTGACGGCTGGGAGTTGTAGTCAGCAGTGTGGGGGTGATTGTCCTGATCCCACCAACACAATTGTTCCCGCTTTTCCCTTCCTTCTCTGGAGCAGGCCAAGCCATGCTCTTCTGAGGACAAGTAAACAGAAGGTGTGGCCGTGGGTCTGGGTTTTCGCTTTAGCCGGTCCAGCATCTTGCATAGCGTGAGCGTCTTCTGACACACCACTTCCACAGGTGCTGCAAGCGATGGGTTACCCCACCGGTTTTGATGCAGACATGGAATGTACGAGCTCTGATGAGAAGTCAGATACAGAAGGCAAAAACGAAACGGTGTCTTCAAACACGAGCAATAATAATGGAAATTCCACAGTTGATACCTCTGCAACCTTAGAGGTGCGTCATCTTTCCTCTCTCCCCTTCCTTCCTTCTTTCATTCCTTCCTGTTTTCCTTCCTTCCTCCCTGTTTTCTTTCCTTCCTTCCTTCCTTCCTTCCTTCCTTCCTTCCTTCCTTCCTTCCTTCCTT